GCGTAGGCACACTAAACTCCTCCAAATGGTCACGATCCTCAATAATACGAAACGACTCCCCAAAGGACATGGGCACCACCTTATCCTCAACATCCCAAGGCATCTCATCCGCACACGGCACATCCGGCTCAACGACATCATCTAAATGCTCGAATTCCTCCTCACTACCATCATCATCCTCCTCCTCATCATCATCAATACCTTCATTACCCCTCGGCTCACTCAAATCCTCAATTGAATTATCTCCCAATCCCAAACCCGAAACACCATCAACGGAAAAAGATTTTGACGTACCTAGTGTAGAGTGCAAGTCCACGTCATCACAAGGAGGAAGTTCTTCGACAATAAGCTCATCGATGTCCTCACTCGTATCTAAAGGTTGAGTCCCATCATACACGGGAGTGAGGCCCTTCTCTTTCAAGGAAGCAAAACGATCCACCATAACTCGAAATTCGCTCTCTAGTCGAGTGCTCTCTCGAATAAGCTTCGCCGATAGAGTAGAATATCTACAGAGCGAAATGGAAGATGAATCCAAGTCGAGGAAAGACACCACGGTGGAGTCGAACTTCTCAAGTGTAGCACGGAGAACGGATGGAATCGGGATGCACCTACAACTATTAAACTCCTCGATGATCGACGCGAGGCTCGCGAGTGCGTCTTGAGTACTCGCCAAAACTTCTTGGTGACGATCGATCGGCCTAACCTCGGAATGAAATGAAGCTCCAAGACTAGATGAACGAGGTTGGCCAACCGATGGGTGCTCAAATACCGGAGAGGGATGGGTGAAGGACTCGGCTTCTTCTTTTTCGGATAGGGAGGGATTGAGTGTCCTCCTCCAACTTTGCCACGATCTTTTCTAATTCGGTTGGAGGGGCCCGAGTCGGCTCGGGTGGAGGCATAACATCGTAAGAGCCGGGAGGTGGAAGATAATAGAGAGGCGTCTCGTCATAAGCCGGATAGTGATCATAATAATCGCATTGGGGTGTGGAATAAGGGTGGCTCGGGCCAAATGAGTTCATCTCCCCTTGAGAATTGTCGGGGTATCCACGAAATGAGCTCCCGACATAATAGTGAGAATAGGGATCCATCCGGGCTCCTCAAGCGTAATACCTCGCACAAGAACAAGAAAAACAACCCAAGGCACATGAGGCAAGAGAGAGAATAACAAAAAGCGAAACTAAAAACACATAATATTTACACGGGCACGAAAGGCAAAACAAGAGAAATGGAAAATAAGCAAATAATCAAGAGAAACACGCAAAAACGAGCAAAATCAATAAAAAGCAAGAGAAACACGGAAACAATCGACAACTAGATAGCAAACTTGGCGTCCTACTCGCCTTCCCCGGCAACGGCGCCATTTTGTTAAGTATATTTTTGGGTATTGGTAACCGAGTTACCCGGCCTCGGGTCGTTCTCAAAGGAAGGCTATTCGGAGCTTCGGTTACTACCTAGTCGTCAAAGTCACACAAACGAAAACATCCTAAACATGCTAATCGCTTGAATTGAGGGTTTAAGCTAATCTACGAAATTGAAATCGAAAGCAAGTAAAGCACGCAAGAAGATTAGAGAGATCAAGGGGGAAAGAGAGATTTTGGTTCGCCGGAGTCTCTATGATCAAAAGCACGCAAAAATCCAACCATTGCCATGTTCGCTAAAAACCCTAGAAAGTCAAATCAAACTCTAGCATGAATCGAGCAAGAATTCAACTCCTATCACACTAAGTCAAACATTCATGATCCAAAGCAACAATCTTTTCTTCCAAAATCTCAAGCACAATATCAATTTACCAAAGCAATAAAGATATACGAGGTAATGGGGCTTAAGACTAAGTTACCCACTCCAACATGCACTCGGGAGAAGAAACAGAATCAAAAGCTTGAAACTTTGCTCAAAACAATGTCGCCGGAAGTTCGCCGGAAAACTTGATTCATAAAGCTCCAAACCAAAATAAAAAAGGAAAAAAAGAGAGAATAGAGAGGATTTTCCCAACTTAAAAGTTGGGAAATGAGAGTTGTTTTCAAAATACAAAGCAAGATGTCTTTATATAGCTACATCACAAAACACACACCAAAACACGCACATTTACTAAAATACTCTCGAGCTGGCTAAAAATCTCGCGGGGTCG